ATAAATATATAATAATATATAATAAATAGTAATAAATTATAATGATGATGATGAATACATTTGAAATTATGATTCTTACGAGTTGAAATAAATTGAAATAGTGATGATACTTGTGTGAGTACATAAAAATAATGATAATAAACATTATCCTATACTATTTGTGTTTAGCCCCATAATAATAATTCATAGTGTGAATATAAAAATTAATAAAATATGCCCATTGAAATACAATTCTAAATCAATTGATTATCAAAAAATCTAATGAATAAAAAATAAGTGATTAAATTAAATAGAATAAAATGAGATTAAAACTAGAGTGATTAGAAAAGATACAACTCCGAACTAACAAAAAATAAATAAATGACCATGTGCAGAAAAATAATGGTTGTGATACTTAATTGAATTAATCATGATGCATGTGCTGAAATTAATGTGAAGTGCAAATGTGCTGGATCACCAGCTCAAAGAAGTAGTAGATTGGATGGACGTGATGTATATATGATCAAAACACCGTGTCATAGTTGAAAAGAGTGGTGCAAATTAGATGTAGTTTATGATCTTGCATACCTTGAGTATTCTCCAGAGTGGATCTCTCCCAAGCCTGCGTGCTACACTGCCCGCAGTTGTGGTAATTTTATGTGCCTCCAGCTACAGATGGAAAACATTGCTGTGTAAAGTCATGCTGTGATCTGCATTCACAACTGATCATTACAAGTCAATTGGCCACATGGTTCGGTGGCCATATTGAATTGTCAGTTGTAAAAACAGGCCCCATCCAAAAATCGATATGGCCACTGCAAGCGAATGGTATTTACATAGTGTTATTATTGTTATGGCTTTTTTTTTTTTTCAAAAGCCTGTAATAAGCGCACTGTTACTAAAAAAAGCATGCAACTTGGTCCAATGGTAGAGCTCTATGCTATGACTAATGTTTTGCATCATAGAGGTCATAGGTCACATTCTCTGGCAGTCATCTTGTTTTTGGGACTGATATTCAGCTCCATATTCAAACATCTGTTTTTCAGAAACTATTAAAGCTACAGAAGTACAAATCCCTGTGTAACGTCATGCTATGATCTGCACTCAGAATTGATCATTACGGCGGACATATTGAATTGTGTCAAATTCTACAAATATGCCTATTATTTTGATGCTCTTTTTTTCAAATGCCAATTATAACCACACTGTTATTTAAAAACTCATGAAATTTGGCACAATAGTAGAGAACTGTGCTGTGTTTAATCTTTGGTAACCTAAAGGTCATAGCATGGTTTGGCAGACCTATAGCCAGACCCGGCGCTACCGTAAGGCAGCTCAAATGGCCGCCTGAGGGCGCTGAAGGGTGAGGGCGGAATAATCCGAGGGGGTAAGTGGCCGCCGCTGCGGTATGGGGCCCCGAGCTTTGACCCCTGTGAGATGGACCCCGCCCCTTGGTTCCCTCTGCTGTGCCTGTGCCGCTGCGTGCAACTGTGGAACCAGTGTGGCTGTACCTGCCGTCTGACAGCCATGAAATGTTTCCTCTGGGGACTCGGTAGGTGAGTTTGTTGTCTCTCTCCCCCCTCTGTCTCCCGGTCTTGAGCTGCATTGTGTTCGTGGTTTTTTAAAATATTTTTACTTCTCTCCCTCTTCGTCTCCTGGTCCTAAGCTGCAGCATGTGTGTGTTGTTTTTTTAACCCCCCCCCCCCCCCCTTTGTCTCCAGGTCCTGAGCTGCAGTGTTTGTGTGTGTTTTTTTTAAATTTCTCCCCACTATGGTCCCAAGTCACATCAGTATGAGGCCCCATTCACACTAGTGCAATTGTGGATCAGTGCAGTTTCCGCGCTGATCCGGAAACCACTGATTTCAAAAGGGAGATTTTGGTAGTTGTTTTCTCATCTGAATTTTTATTGAGCAGAAGAAAAATGATAGCAGTGATAGCATAGATTTTGGTAGTTTTTAATTGCGTTTCAGCGCTAAAACGCAATAAAAAATGCCCCAAACCGTGCACGGTTCCATTGAAAGCTGTATGGAAACCGCACTAATCAGCGTCTCAAAAAAGGGTCAGGGGGCAGTTCGGATCACACTGAGCCACACGGTCGCACGAACCGCCCCTGTGTGGACGGGGCCTTAATGGAGTGTGTGTCCAGTGGTGGATCCATGGGGGGGAAGGCAAAAGAGCAATTGCCCCCCACAAGAAAATGAATGCACCCTCCACCGCTCTTAGGGCCGCCATCAGGGGGGTATGGCCGATACGCATGTGAGGGGCCCAGGCAGCCTGGGGGGCCTGGGCTACTTACATGGGTATTGGCCGTACCAGGGGCAGCATGGCAGAGTTGATAGGGGAGGAGGTGGAGAAGGCCGGGCCACAGCAGCGGGAGATAAGAGGAGCTCGGAGGAGGTGCAGGGAAAGGGACCCTGACCAGCCCACCTGAGACCCTGCAGAACCCACCATAGAGAGTCTCGGATGGGCTGCACTGGATCTATGGTGTGCTCTGCAGGGTCACTCTCAGGTGGGCTGTGTGGGGGGTCTCGGCTATGTGTGGGGTTTATGGTGGGCTCTGCAGGATCTCAAGTGGGCTTTGTCTCCACGGTCATCGGCCATTTTGAATTTGGAAAAAAATCAGTATAATTCATGAAATTATGTTCAGTTGTAGAGGTCTATAGAGAGATGCTGACTCAGACTTGACATATAGTTTAGCAGCCATATTGGATTATGCAATATTCTACAAACATTGTTATCACTGAAACCGTATGTCATGCAAAATTTTGCACACATCTCCACAGCCACCTCCTCTACTAAATTTGGTCATAGCAAGAGAATATCAACATCAATATGGCCGACTCAAGCCAATCACATTTAACATGTGATTGCGCAAATGTGTATTTATATCACTACTGAACTATCTTAAAATCTGACACATAGAATTACTCAGCAAGATACGTGCAAATTTAATATACACTGAGTGGCCAGATTTTTATGACCACCTGACGTTTGTAGGCAAATTAGCTATAATTTTGCGCTGAAGTTGCTAGAGGGCCAGACCATTATAAATAGGGAAGCAAGTTGTTTACCACGACAGTAGAAGTGATTTTTTTCTGAAGATATGGGTAAACAACGCGATTTAACAGCCTTTGAACGTGGGATGATTGTTGGCGCTCGGAGCCATGGAGCGAGTATCAGCAAAACAGCAGAATTTGTTAAATGTTCAAGAGCAGCTGTTGTTAAAGTGTTTAAAGACTGAACTGTCAGCCGAAAATCTGGGTCTGAACGTGCGAATTGTGGCCGTCAGCGACTAGTCAATGTTAGGGCAGAACGGAGAGTGGCAAGACTGGTACAAGACAACAGAAGGGCAACAGTGCAGTGTCAGATTCCTCGCATCACCTTTCAACATCTCGTGGAGTCACGAGGCGGCCCAACGAAGTCATCTCGTGGAGTCATCTCGTGGCCCAACGAAGTACTGATGGGGTGGTCATAATAATCTGGCCACTCAGTGTAGATGTGAATAGTCGGCGGCCAATTTTGAATTTGGAAAAATATTACAATTCATAAAAACGTATGTCGTTTTACAGGTCTATTATGGATACATAACTTCTCGTACTATAACCAAACGCTAATGTTTGGCAACCTTTATTGCAGCTTGCAGCTATATTTGAAGATTGATCTCAGTTTTCTATTAATCATCATTTTTGTATAAGTTTTTGACTGCTGCAAAATTCAGGAAAGGTGTCTTCCATGAAATGTTTTGTATTTTTTTCTGTATATCATAAAAAATATAGGCAACATATTTATTAAAGCATTCTATCAAGGGAAAGCCACATATGTCCTTGAAAAACAGCATGAAAATCATTGTGGCATGCAAGGCAGCTAAAGATTAAGTAAACTGGCACACACCAAAACTGTAAAACAGGAATACAATTGCACTTACATGGGTGTCTGTGTTGTAACCCTAAGATTTTTTTTTTCTGCCCAACAAACAGTTTAATGATGAAAAAAGACTCATGGTCTTTCATCAGAACTTGCAAGACATCATTGAAGATCAGCTGAGCCTTGCATCTATCCACTACATGAGGTCACATTATCAGGAGGCAATAGATATATACAAAAGGATATTGCTAGAAAACAGGTATGCATTAAATGTGCAATTTTATTTGCATGGATGAATAAATATTTTGGAATGCTTGTTTCTTGAATTTGTCTTTTGCAAACAAGGAAGTACATTCCTTAACCCATTTAATGCCATTCTGTATAAATACAATTATATATCCCTAGAACACCCTTTGCTGTAATCTGATTTGTTGAACTTTTAAACAAGTTGGATACTACTTGCTACTGTAAAACACTTGTAATTTTGTGATTAAAATACTAAGTTTCCTGCCCCACTCGCTAATAATAATAAATAATAACGATTCTGTAATTGAGTATGTGACCTGTGCTGACAGAGTAATTATCCATTGTAAACTCTGTTTCACTGGCCACAGTAGAATGCTAGATCAGTGTTTTTTTTTTAGTTTAGATAAGTAATTTTACTGTTACCTTTTATAAAATCTCCTTGACAGGTTAAGGCGAATTTGTAGTCGACGATAGGTCTTCTTTAACCCTTTTTTTTGTTGCACGCTGATTCCTATTTTGCACCACAGGTGGCAAAAACAGTTTTGGTATTTGATCAAACTACATTGCAGCCTTGAAAGTTTTAAAAAGATCCCCTTAAAAACATGCATTATAGAATTAAAAGCTAGCACTGTTACTTTGTGCAAATACGCTAAATGTGATTATCACACACAAACACAACACAATCTCCCAAATTTTTGATATTAGCAATAAAAAATTATACAACTGCAAACTACAATAAAAAGCATTTATGCATGCATTTAAAATGTGTTTGTTGAACTACAAAATTGTAAAATGAGCAACTCACAGTAAAAAAAACAAAACTTGTACTGCTTAATTTTGTTATTTGTAATAATACAGTGGTCCTAAAATTATTATTAAACCTCTAAGACATGTTGGGATACCCAATATGTGTACTGTAAAAAGTATCATGTTCATCTGCATGTCCTAATTGTGTGTACAATATGAATGTATAGGTGTGTTTTGTGTCCTTGGTGACCTATAACATATTCTTATCTATTACTGCCCAATCAGACAATAGCTGGATGTGTTTTATTTGATCAAGTGTGTTATCTTACTATAGCAGATCATGGTGTAGAAGACAAACGTTTTTTTTTTTTTTTTTAAACAGGAAGTCATATAGTGATTTCCAACTACAGTGGTTGGTTGTTAGACACTCTTCTAATATATGTGAGCTGATTCACCAAGCTGCAGTATCATTTAAGAAATGCTAAATGATGATTTAGGCATGCTAAAATGGCTTCTTAACCAATATTATTGTATGCAGTTCTAGCATTCCTTTATGCCAATTATAGCAATGTATAAGTACATGGGTAGAAAAGGCAAAATGTGTTGTTACAATGATACCTTTACGTGGCTTACTATAAATATTACAAAGTATGAGCTTTACCTGAAGGTCCTTCTTCAGGTATTCAGGACTTGAAGAAGTCGCTTTAGCGTATTAAAAGATTGTATTCTTTAATATTTTTAGTAACACTTTTTTGCCTTCTCTACCTTTTTTGTATTCAATCCTGGCCAACCCGATGGATGTACAGCAAAAAAGGTGTCCCTCGAAAGTATATTTAAAGTTGTTGGCAACTATACATTTTCTCTCTCATCCATTGAGGGACACAGGAATTCTAGAACATTCAGGTTATACTACCACCTTCAGGAGAATTGGACATTTAAAAACAAAGAAACTTTAGGTGTAGCCCTGGGTATAACCCCTCTCTTGACCAACATGCTTAATTCTTTTTGCTAGTGTCTCAGGTGGATGGATGTTTTTTTCTACAGCCTCACTTAATCTAAAGTGTTCTTCTAGCAACCTTTTCCATCAATATTTAACAACTGACAGGGGGGATATCAGCTGCAGGTGAAATCCCCCCCTCCCCCCCTTCCAAGCAGCTCTCTCCCCGCAGTCTTTTCATTGTTGGATCTCACTGTAACTGAACCCTGCCAGACTTTACCTTCACAGGGTGAGCCTGGAAGTGATTTTTGGGGACTGCGTTTCACTGGGGTGCTTTTTAGAATTGGATCTGGTCTATTCACTATAGAGTGATCTTCGGGTACAGAGCCATGGCTTTGGCTTGCATAGTCTCTGCAGGCCCACACTCATGTGAGTAAGTCGTTCAGGCTCTGCATTTTTGGGCACTTCCTCTGGCTTATTAGTCTTGCTCGCTACATGCTGTTCCCCTGTTCCCACCAGCTGGCCATGGAAGAGATCAATAGGCTAGAGCACTAATGCAATTTCACTGGGTGGAGTGGCACTCCCCACTGCTGCCCTTGCTACAGAGCCGCATGGAACACAGGTCTTCAGTTTGTTCCTGCAGCCACACATGGTCATCTTCAGCTTGCTTGACTGGCTGGCCTTAAGCTTTACTGCCAGCTTTCTAGCTGCCCAGGTTCTATAAGTAACTTGGCTTTGCCTCCTTCCTTAAACCAGTATGTGGTCAGGCCCGGATTTCCCACAAGGCCACAAGGGCGCATAGGGGTGGCAGCAGTGTAGAGTCCCCCCGACGCCCGGAACATACAGCGCCGGGCGGGTAAGTTGCCTTGTGAGGAATCTGCTCGTACATTAATCCCCCCCTCCCCCCCTTCCAAGCAGCTCTCTCCCCGCAGTCTTTTCATTGTTGGATCTCACTGTAACTGAACCCTGCCAGACTTTACCTTCACAGGGTGAGCCTGGAAGTGATTTTTGGGGACTGCGTTTCACTGGGGTGCTTTTTAGAATTGGATCTGGTCTATTCACTATAGAGTGATCTTCGGGTACAGAGCCATGGCTTTGGCTTGCATAGTCTCTGCAGGCCCACACTCATGTGAGTAAGTCGTTCAGGCTCTGCATTTTTGGGCACTTCCTCTGGCTTATTAGTCTTGCTCGCTACATGCTGTTCCCCTGTTCCCACCAGCTGGCCATGGAAGAGATCAATAGGCTAGAGCACTAATGCAATTTCACTGGGTGGAGTGGCACTCCCCACTGCTGCCCTTGCTACAGAGCCGCATGGAACACAGGTCTTCAGTTTGTTCCTGCAGCCACACATGGTCATCTTCAGCTTGCTTGACTGGCTGGCCTTAAGCTTTACTGCCAGCTTTCTAGCTGCCCAGGTTCTATAAGTAACTTGGCTTTGCCTCCTTCCTTAAACCAGTATGTGGTCAGGCCCGGATTTCCCACAAGGCCACAAGGGCGCATAGGGGTGGCAGCAGTGTAGAGTCCCCCCGACGCCCGGAACATACAGCGCCGGGCGGGTAAGTTGCCTTGTGAGGAATCTGCTCGTACATTTACAGGTGATCGCGGCGATGTCGCCACAATCACTTGTAAAATCTGTGCAGCCTGTTCGTCCCCCCCTCACTTACCTCTCTCCTCTGGTTCCGGCCGCCGAGTCTCTCCTCACTTGCCGTCGATGTGGGGAGCAGAGCGGCAGGGTTAAAAGTAACACTGCCGCTCCGTGTAGACTGTAGACCGTGAGAGGGGAGAGCTGTGCTCTTCCCGTCTCACCTGTCACAGGAGTTCCAGCACAGTTCTGTGCTAGAACTCCTGTATTGGAGGTGACAGGGTCAATAAAGAGAACCTGTCACCTCCAAATGCTATCACACAGGGGCTTGTTAGCTAGCTCCTGTGTGATAGCAATAAAGTTAAGTGAAAAAAATAAGAAGAAATAATAATTAAATACAAATAAATAAAAAGGTGATTAAAAAGTAAAACATAATAAGAAAAAAATTATTAAAAAATAAATAAACAATAATAAGATTTAAAAAAATTAAAAAGTAAACGATAAGCTAAAAATGTAAAAAAGTAAAAAAATAAATAAAATTAAAAAAGTGATAAAGAAAGAAACAATAAAAATAAAACTAACCCTGCGCCCCTGCAATCCGGTTGCCAGGAGGGGGGCGCATAGCAGAACCTGGCCTTGGGGCGGCAGGGGTAGTAAATCCGGCCCTGTATGTGGTCAATCGATTTGTCAACCTAGACATAGAGGGGGATAGTACGGCAGTTACTGGTGATCGGAGTGCTCCCTTACTCCATCAGGCATTACTCAATTATGCAGGGATTCAAGTCTTAGATTACCAAACTGGTTTTTGAATCTGAGCAAAGAGGTCAGAAACATGCTACCGCTCCTTCCCCAGCATTGTCTGTATCAGACATGCCTGTTGCTTTGGCTGCTTCAAGTCAGTCTTTTTCTTAACCTCTCTATGACTTTTGAGTCTGTACTGGCTCTAAGTGAGGAGCTCTTCCTTGGGGAGTAGCAAGCAATACCCATTACCCTTAAGTGGAGAGAGATTGTCTCATTTTCAGTGATGCAGTGCGCACTACCCTGAAGCTAGAGCGATAAGCCTGTCATGCCTATGAGCTCAGTTTCTGGTCTTGGCTCTTGCAAGCCTTCCAAGAAGTCAATGACCTTTCCCCATCCCCTTCTGTTTGATATGTTTTTGTAGGAACAATGAAAGCACCCTAAAAAGCTCTTTCCCACTCCCATACACATTGTGCATCTCTGTACCCACTCAGTAAGGAGTTTGTTAAGAAATGGTCTGTCCTTCGGAGGCAGGCCTTAGAGTAATGGGGTAATGCTTGATGGCACTGTATGAATACTTGTTTATAAAGGGAACATTGTTTTACGTGCTTCATCCACCATGTATATGTTTATGGATAGACTGTTCTGGCTGTGATCAACCACAGTGTGGTATGCTTATGACTTTGAAGTGATAACGTTTGTTTTACAAATGTAAAAATTGCTGTAAATTTTATTTAAAAAAAAAAGAAATGGTCTGTCCCTGTGATTAATCCAGCCTGAACAAGGTGACCACCATACCAATGGAGGAAACTCATTCCAGGGCCATGTTTTCTGTTTCCCGTGCTCCCTTGCATCCAGTTCTGCCTGTAGTTTTGCCATGTCAAACCCTTATTGACTGGTCTAAGTCTTTTAGTCAAATAAAGTTTTATTCGTATTAAACAGGGTAAAAACATGTAACATACATAGCATATTTTCAGGGTACATACGGGTATACAGGCAAGTCGGTCCA